AAGCAGCCATCAAAGCGGCTCAGCTCGTAGATCAGGTGGAAGTCCTGGGAAGATGATGGAGGATCAGGCCAAGCTGGGGGGCGAGGAGGAGATGGAGAAGGCGACCCAGACAGCTCTCAGCTCAGGTGCAGACGGCGGCTCACAGCGCAACAAGGCGAGGCCTTTCATCATCGTCTGGAGAAATGTCCTGCTGATGGCTCTGCTGCACCTGGCAGCCCTGTATGCCCTCTGGCTCATCCCAAAGGCTCAGCCTCTAACATGGCTGTGGGGTAAGTCAGGCTCCAGCCCTGTGCGCAGTGTCGTCCTCCCCATCACTGTGTGTGTGTGTGTGTGTGTGTGTGTGTGTGTGTGAAAGCCAAAGAGATCTGAACCAAACTGTCCTTCCCCTTTGCAGTACCGAGCAATCCGAATATAATCAGCATCACCATCACCACCATCACCACCACCACCACCACCATCACCAGTATTATCATCATCACCACCATCACCATCACCATCCATCACCAACATTATCATCACCATCAGCATCACCACACACTGCGATCCCGGTGAGAATTTTTGAACCGTAACTCAGTCGCAAATGGCTATTTTGCATTTCGATGTGGGTTTGAATATCCTTTCCCCCCCCTCCACACCCCCCAACCCCCCCCCCCACCCCCCCCACCACCAACCCCAACCCCCCCACACCCCCCCACCACCAACCCCCAACCCCCCACCACCCCCCCACCACCACCCCCCCCACCACCAACCCCAACCCCCCACACCCCCCCACCACCAACCCCCCCCACCACCACCCCCCCCACCACCCCCCCCCAACCCCCCCCACCCCCCCCACCCCCCCCACCACCACCCCCCCCCCCACCACCAACCCCCAACCCCCCCCACCACCCCCCCCCCACCCCCCCCACCACCACCCCCCACCACCAACCCCCAACCCCCCCCCCACCACCAACCCCCAACCCCCCCACACCCCCCCACCACCAACCCCCACCCCCCCCCACCACCAACCCCCAACCCCCCCACCCCCCCACCACCAACCCCCAACCACCCCCCCACCACCAACCCCCAACCACCCCCCAACCCCCCACACCCCCCCCCACCACCACCCCCAACCCCCCACACCCCCACCACCAACCCCCAACCACCCCCCCACCCCCCCCACCACCAACCCCCAACCACCCCCCCACCACCAACCCCCCACCACCACCAACCCCAACCACCCCCAACCCCCCCCCCCCCCCCACCCCAACCCCCCACCACCACCAACCCCCCAAATCGAACAGTGTGATGCAGTGAGAGCTGTGGGGTTGGGGATTGCATCAGTGACAGTCTCATGTCCCTACAGTTTCGTATCTTGGCGTTTCCTTTTGCAATCATCAGCCCCCGCGATGGTCCTCTGGTGCTGTCTGCAATGCAAGGTGACTGCTGGTTAGGGTGAGAAAGGGGAGAGCTCTCCTCCTCTGAGAAAGCGATCCTCTGACCAGGCAAAGAGGGGGTTTTAAGTCAACGTCTAAAATGCACGTTACGATCATCCTTTTGGGGCAAATGATAAACGAGCACAGGTGCCAGTCACTGTGGAAGCGCGGATGGTTTTTAAATGCACAGTGTATGGTCTTCAATCACAGTGCGGGGTGAAGAGCATCTGCAATTCCTCCTACATTTAAAGAATGACGCATTATACTTGGTGCCACATTGTAGGTGTGAATGTGTGAGGAGGAACGTGCAAAGGACAAATTAGCCTTTAATACGATGGCTTGTGAATAAGTGGCAAGGCTATTAACCAGTTAGTGCCTCCCCTCCTCTCTCTCTCTCTCTCTCTCTCCCCCCCCCCCCCCCCACCATAGGTTTGTTCTCAGTGGAAATGGAGAATGATCAACATTTGTGTCCTTTTAAATCTGAAATTATTAATCCATCTCCAAGAATATCACATCCAGAGGCTTAAACATCCATCATGTTTCTGCCCTGAGTAGTAGAAAGGGGGTATTATGTGGAAGGACTGTTCATTAACTTTCCATTGAGTTATTCTTTGTTAAATTTTCACCAGATTACAGTGTGTTCTAATTGTACAGTATGTGCTTAGGGCAAAAATAAACTCACCAGGTATATTTTATTCTAGTTTGGAATGAGGATCTTATCCAGATTTGGGTGATCTCCTTGTCTCCTAACTATCACCAGAAAGGATGTGAGACATGCACAAGCCATATAATAATAATAATCCTTGCATTTGGATATAGCACCTTATTATGTCTCAAAGCACCTCACAGATATACTGGTAAATGGATTGACTGTATTTTGTTGGTGAAATGTGGCAGCCAGTGTACACACAGCAGTGTCCCACTAACAGCCATGAAGTGAGTGACCAAATTTTTATTTGGGGGATTGTTGGCCAGGACACCAGGAGAAACTCCTTTCCCTTTTTAAACAGGGTCATGAGATCTTTTATGTCCACCAAAACAGAAAGACGGGACCTCAGTTCAATGTCTCATCTGAAGGACGGCACCTCCAACAATGCACACCCCCCCATCACTGCATTGGAGTCTCAGCTTAGACTCTGTGATTCCAAGTCCCGTCCTGGGGCTTGAACCTACAACTGACTCAGAGGTGAAAGTCTTCTGACTCAGAGGCAAGAGTGCTACCATGGCACGGGGCTGACACACCTGTATTAAAGAAACAGGGCATTGTTTTTGTTCTGTTGCTTTAACAAGGCTCTGGTCTGTAAGTATCCCAGATTAAATCAATGGCTCCAAGTGCTTTACAACATAGAATTGATAAGAAATTAAATAAAGTGAATGCTATTAGATTGGCAAATTTGGTTGCTAATTTGTGTCAGTGACGCCCCATAAGCAATAGTGAGATGAGCAGCCAATTAATTTGAAATTGGGGTAAATTTGGGATAAGGCTATTTTAACCCACAAAATACACAGTCAATCCACTTTACAGAAAATGCTGTGAAGCACTTTGAGACATCTCGATGATGCGATAAGGTGCTCGATCAAATACAAGGATTATTATTGTTATTTGATTACATCCACCTGCATCACATGGCAGATGGGACCTAAAATTAATAAAACCACAAAAGAATGGAATGATGATGATAATCTGGAAATAAATAATAAAATTGTAAACAATATAGAATGTCGGTATTGAGGCAAAACCAAAACAAACCCTCAGATTTAATACAGTAATTTGAGATTTATGTTGTTCAGTAAATTGTGAAATGGCAAATGAAGTGTGTGTGGGTTTGATTTATGACATGTTTAAAATATGGTGCACACTGAGAAAACCGGAATCATAAACTCAAACAGTATGGAATGGGCCCAGGTTCATTGCACTGATATAGATTTGCAAATAAATTGCTTATCACAGTTTGTAAACAATTTGGATATCCATGAATACTGTTTGGATTACTGCTTTTAATCAATTTTAAATGATTTTCATAAATAACTTATTTTGATTTATTGTGGCAGTAATACTAAACATAATAGGGATTGACTGAACAATTTGGAAATTCAGAGGAAAAACTAATAAGATTTATCCCAAGCACTATATAAAGATTAATGTAGATTGAATCTAAGGCAGCTTGTATGTGCATAGGGTGGATTAGTTTTGTTATGGCTTTAATACAAAGATTTAATATACTATAAGAAAATTAAACATTTCAGGTAGGCATTAATGTAATTAAAATTATTGAGGAAACAGTCACATGCAAAACCATGGTAAAGGCACAACTGTTTCACGACAGTAGGTTATTCTACAATTAATAGTTATTTTGCATTGGAGGGTAATAAACGTTTGTGCAGTTTGCTATTACAACCCATTACAACCCATAACCTCTGAGATTCTGCCTGACAAACATGTTATTCTTTTCGAGTTATATCATGTGGTACAACGTTAAATAATCCTCCTGTTTATCATGGCCATTTGCTATACTGACTGACACAACGAGTGTTGTGCCTATGGAAATTCCAAATTGCCTGATTAGAAATAATAACAATTCCTCTTTATCTTTTAACACAGAAGAACCCACTCTTAGGAACATAGGAATTTGTACAACCAGAAAGAGCTAATCTGGCCAGTCTAGAGATCTTGAGAAATACCATATTTTTTCTGCCCAGATCTTGAGGAAAAACATAATGTGTTCTATGCCCCATACTTCGTTCTGCAGGAGGATGTCTCAAAGCGCTTCACACAGTGAGCCCGGGTGAGGAGGGGGAGCGGGGAGGAGCTTGCCATAAGTAGGGTTGAAATGATAAGTCTCAGTTCTATGACTGTATGTTCATGGTGAACTCACAGAATTAAGCTATACTTATTTATTGCAGAAAATATCCAACTTCTGAATTCATCATTTCCCCGTCAGTACAATGAATCAGTGCCTGTGTTACAATCACCCACTTGTGAAAACCTTGTACTCAGGGTCCAATGTGTAGCTCAGCGTGGGTCAGCTGGCGGAGAGGGGAGGGGGCAGAGAGAAGGGGGAGAGAATGGGGGAGAGACAGGGGAAGTGGGGATAAACAGGGAGAGACGGGAGGGGGAAGAGTCGGAGGAAAAGAGAGGGGGAGGGAGGAGAGAGGGGGAAGGAGGAGAGAGGGGGGAGAGAGGTGGGGAAAGAGAGGGGGAGAGAGTGGGGGGAGTGGGAGAGAGAGGGGGGAATGAGAGGGGGAAGGGGAGGGGGAGATAGAGGAGGAGGGTGGAGATAGAGGAGGCAAGAGGGGAGATAGAAAGGGGGAGGGGGGAGAGATGGGGCAGGGGGGAGAGATGGGGCAAGGGGGGAGAGAGATGGGAAGAAACAGATGGGGGAGAGAGAGTTGGGGAGAGAGAGAGTTGGGGAGAGAGAGGTAGGGAGAGAGGGAGATGGGGAGAGAGAGAGAGAGAGGAAGGGGGGGAGAGAGAGAGGGGAGGAGAGAAGGGGAAGGGAGGAGAGAGAGAGAGGGATGGGGAGGGGAAAAGATGACCGAAAGCAGGGGAGAGAGAGTATGTGAAAGAGAGGTAAGAAAGGGGGAGTGAGAGAGCGAGTCTCCTGACGTGAAAGGCGCTATACAAATGTAATCTTGTTGTTGTTGTTTGAGAGAGGGGTGAAGAGAGAGTGATTGAGAGGCGGAGAGAGCAGATAGAGATTGTGAGAGGGGGAAGAGTGTGAGGGGGAAGAGAGAAGAGTGTGTGAGAGAAAAGAGGGTGTGAGAGAGAGTGAGAGTGTGAGGGAGTGAATGTGAGGGAGAGTGGGAGAGAAAGAAACGGGGAGAAAGGTGGGGGCTTAAGATTGAGAGAGGGTGATTGAGAGACAGTTTGAGAGGGGATAGAAAGTGTGTGGGGGAGTAAGAGAGAGTATGTGACAGAGAGGAGGAGAAAATGATTGAGAGGGGTGTAGGTGGAGTGAGAAGGAAGAGTGAATATGAAAGGGTGTGAGAAGGGGAGTGAGAGAGAGTAACTGAGAGGAAGTGTGGCAGAGAAGGAGAGTGTGTGCATGAGAGAAAGGGGGTTGAGAGAGATTGATTGAAGGAGAGACAGCATGAGGGAGAGGGGGAGAGAGAGAGAAACAAAAAGAGTGAGAGAGCAGAGAGAGGAGAAGTGAGGGCAGTGTTTTGCGGTTCATTATCAGGACAGACGATCGGAGTCTCCCTTGGCCACTGTGAGGGGGAACGAGGACAGACACTGAGTGACGTGCCATGCAGATTCCTCACAGAAAACTCCCTCCTTCCTCAGTGAAATACTCCTCTGTGTCCTTTATTCCACATCCCCATCCATACCTCTGCGACCCCACAGACCTGGCCATCCCTTTTGCCCACAAACACCAGCTTGCTTCATGTCCCCCCCCACCCCATCTGCCCCACAATCATCATTTTGCCCTCGTTCTCTGGAGCTCCATTCCCAGAGTCCATCTGACTTGCTCCTGCCTCCTCTCTTTCAAGGCAGTCGAGACCTAACTCTTTGACCATGCTTTTGGTCATCTTTCCCCCTCCCCCACCCATCCCATCTTTCTCAGCTCCCACTCCCAGCTCAGGTGCCCATCCGACAGTGTCAAAGTGCTTTGAGATGTCCTTCCAACATGAAAATGGTACTGTTTATATGTTGTTATGTTTCTGGAAGGGAAACACAAAATATGAGGCCCGTGGACTTTTCTCAAATAGGGAATCTGGCCCGCGGCAGCAAAAGGTTGGACCGTCCCATGTAGCTAATAAGAAAGTCTGTAACTAAGGTCAATAGAATAGGTTGTAAAGAATTATAATTGTTTCATACGCTGACCAATTTGCTTCATTATAGGTATCCATCCAAGTGTGACTGCGAGGACAAATCACCATTTGTTCTTCTCAGCAGTCTCTTGACAACCATTGGAAAATGCCTAACTTGTAAAATTTGTGGCATTTCATAATGTGATCTTTGTGTTAATTCACCCAGAAACCCCACAAAAGTTACCCCATTAACAGCAATTCAGAGACCCAGCCTGTGAGACCATTTTGTCTGCGACGTTAAGATCACGCAGACTTGTGAAAAAGTCTTAAATTCATTCTTAATTTTGAAGTCAGTGTTTGAAGAACTTTCCACAATTCTGCGCATCTTAAATTTTAAGACAAAATGATTTTGTAGGGCTAAGAATATATGATATTTTGGCCTCAGGTGCTTGGGGTCACTTAAGTTCTGATTGTCAGGAATTATTTCAATATGGGCCATGTGTATATTCTAACAACATATAAACAACAGCAACTTGCATTTACATAATGCCCTTCATGCAGGGTAGCGTGTTGGAGCGCTTAACGACATACAAACATACATATCAGCTATTGAGCGGTTTCCCAGCAAGTTCTGTTTTCAAAAGCCTTTGGGCCTTGAAACCGCATTAAAAGAGCCTTCTAAAAGACCACTGCAATTGGGCTGTTGTCTGCAAAATAAAGTATTTGGTTTCTGTGTATCTATACATTCCCGTACCCTTCAGCATCAAGTTCGCTTTTGTCTACTTTACATCAGTGGAGTTAGGTACCCCATAATCAGGTGAAAGGCTGCTATAACAATAGCCGAACAGAAATCATTGTGGCTGCCTCCCTTCCCCCACTCCCTACAGTTGTTTGATTCTTGTTTGTCTTGTACAGACAGTGACGTACTAAGCAGTGTGTCCCGTGGTACTAATCGCAGGCTCTCATGTGTTTTTTCCCCAGCTTATCTTTGTTTCATAGTAACTGCTCTCGGGGTGACAGCTGGCGCTCACCGTCTATGGAGCCACAGATCCTACACAGCAAAACTGCCTCTTCGCGTGTTCCTGGCTGCTGCGAACTCCATGGCTTTCCAGGTTGGTTTTTTAATGCCTTTCGAGCACACCTGAGTCTGGAATCCTTGCTCAGCTGGTGGGACAATGCTTGTATTCCTTCATTCAAACACTTTTTTATTTTGGTGTAGTTGGTGCCCAGTTGGAGCTGGTCTCAACGGGAGGTCATCAGCACTGAATATAAGTGCAACTGGTTGTGTAAAATCTTTGAGGCTTAGAGGCAATCTGCAAATGCTGGAAATCTGATATAAAACCAGTAATCGCCAGATGTTCTCAGCTCTCCATGCAGGGTAGCGTCTCAGAGCGCTTAACAGTGGCGGAGCCTGACTCCGAGCCAGCGGGGGGAGGTGACTGTAAGCACGGTCGTAAAGGAAGGTTTTCAGGCAGGTCTTGAAAAAGAAGAGAAGGGGCAAGGTAGAAGGATTGAGGGAGTGTGTTCCAGAGTTTCGGGGCGTAGTAAAATAACCAAACTTGTGCGATTAAATTACAACCTTTAACCATTGCAACTATGGTAGAGTGACCATATTTTGTAGAATAAATCCGGGGACACATATATTAAAAAAATTGAACTAAGCACAATTCCTGATGAGGCAGTACTGGAGAAGCATGTTTGATCAATGGCTGTATTTCTCTGATGCGTGTCTGTTATTGTTATTATTTTGTTATTGTTCTTGCTCAGTTTGTTGCTGATCTCAAGACATATTTGGTCAAGGACACAATACCTCATCTGGGGACTCTCCCCGGAAATCAGGGACACTCTGATCTAAGGGGCTATCTTTACTCTGTGCAGGATATAAGGCTGAATGCTTTAAGATGTGAATCATATCAATCTTTCCCATTATGGAATATGAACAACATCTGATGGGTTCCTGATTAAATATTTTGAGGATTTCAACTTAATGAGTAGGCCAACACTCCATTAATCAAAAATATTGGTCATTCTTTTTGTGGGAAACTGCTGTGTGCAAATTGGCTGCTGGGTTTCCCTACAAATACAGTCACTGTACTTCGAAAAACTGTGAAGTGCTTTGAGACTTTTCGTTAGCAACATTACCCGGCGCTATATCAAACTCAAAGATTATTATTATTAGATCCTGCAAGTGAAGTAGATTAACCTCATGACCAATCAGTTATGATCGGTACCAAAAGTGCAATATAAATTGGATCCCAGGGATTTTCATCATAATCTGGTTATACTAGATTTTATCTCACAAATTAAGATGATTAGAATTAGAGGCTGGTTGATTCTCCTGTTGGCTCAGATGATGAAGGCACTGCCCAGATACAGACCTGAAAAGTCTCAGGCTTGATCCTTGATCTGATCTGATGAGGCAGCAGGGCTATGATAATATAAAATAATAATAATCCCTGCATTTGATGCAGCACCTTTCATGTAGAGAGGAAGTCTCAAAACGAGAGTCACTGTAAAGTGTAGTGACTGTGAATTTTTATTGGTAGTAGCCAATTTATACCTAGCAATATCCCACATACGGCCATGAAGTTAATAATTTATTTTATTTGGGATATTGTTGGCCAGGACACAGGGAGAAACTCCTTTCATTTTTCAAATAGTTTTTAGATTTTTAACATCCACTGATGGTATATTGATTTAATATTTCACCCGAAGGACGACACCTCCGACAATGTATCGTAGTGTCCACCTAGTCTTATGAGATGAAAGTAGGATTTGAACCCAATACCTTCTAATTCATAGGCAAGATTGCTACCAACTGAGCCAAGCTGACAAAAATAATGGAATCAAATAATCGTTGAATTTGATTTCGCGCATTATCACCTCACCAAAACATCTCAAAACAATTCAGAAACTTTGTACTGTGAAATGTAGTGACTGTTTTTTTTGTAGGCGAGCTGGAGTGCTACGAAGCAGGGAGTGGGATAAAATCAGCTAGGATATCAACCCTCGTATTGGACTTGGCCAATAATAATAATATTAATCCTTGCATTTGTTATAACGCCTTATCACGTCTTCGAGACATCTCAAAGCGCTTCACAGAATATATCGTCAAGTGAATTGACTATATTTTGTGGGCAAAACGTGGCAGCCAATTGCACACAGCAGTGTTCCACAAACAGTCGTGGATTGAGTGATCAAATTATTATTTATTTATTTTTTTAAAAGGATTATTATCCCCAGAAAAGCGATCCCCCAATCGACTAACAACCAGGTTTGTACTTACTGCTGGGTAAATAGAGGCATGTGAAGTAAGGAAACCTGCCTAACATTTCACCCTGCCTGGGAATCGAACCCAGGTGTCTACATCACAAAGATGTAGAGAAAAGATCACTGAGACTGATTTACTTTTTTCCTTAGCAATATCTCTTAATAAAGAATCCTGTCAGAATTCCCAACGACCTCTATGCCAGAAGAAGATTTCTCCCGGTGTCCTGGTTACTCACTTCATGGGACTTTGTGAAACATTACTGTGTGCAAACTGACTGCTGCATTCGCCTACCAAATGCATAGTTGCTACACTTTACAGTATATCCTGTGATGCACTTTGAGACATCCTCCAGACATGAAATGTGCTATATCATTATTATTATTGTTATAGATTGTGTTGAGAAGCCTCAGGTCAGGGTGACCTACTTCCTTATATCAGAGGAAGTCTCTTATAAGGAAACCAGTTAAGAAACACTGCAATTTAGACCCAAGTACAGTACTATTTTAGTAATTAGCGCAAGTTAGACTACTATCTAGGTTCAGTAGTGCAAGGTACTTTAATGTGAATGGAAGTTGTGGAATTGCACTCCAGCACAATCAGTGTGTGCAGGAGAGATGGGAGAAATTTGTAAGGAGGTATTACAGTAAGTAGCAAAGGCAGAAATGACTGTTTTTTGCAAATTATGTTATTGTGGGCCTTGCTGGCTACCTCCACTCCACTTTTGATCAGAGTAACATTTGTCCCTAGTTTCAATCTCATCTCCACAAGGCATGTATCAGCAATGATAAAATACTGGAATAAAGCTGCCTGTAAAATGTAGTTGTTGAGGCCCACGATGAAGAAAAAGGATAGGAAGACTTATCTTCTTTTAAACTGGACTGTAGTTTAGAAGTTTGTGCATCATTAGAAATGGTCTAGCTGGGGTTCTACGTATGTGCACTTTAGTGTACTGAAGAAATCCGAGCTTGGGTGTCTATTGACCATTCAATACAATACAGTATACCAGGTGAGTCAGCCTGGCTCAGTGGGTAGTGAGGTGAAAGCTTACTGAAAGCATGGTCAAAGAGGTACATTTTGAGGAGCGCCATGAAGAGGGGAGGGAAGGAGCAAGTTGGAGGGACTTCGGGATGGAGTTCCAGAGAGCAGAGGCAGAATGGTTGAAAGCCCATTTGATGATGGTGGGGCAGAAGGGCAGGGAACATGAAGCAAGCCAGAGTCCATTGGGATAGTGTGGGTAGGTAGAATGGAGGCGAGACCGTGAGGGGATGTAAAATATACAGGTAGATGTTAGTTGAAGTGGTTTATTGAAATACACTAGTTAACAGATCCCACCCAGGACAATTCCTTGCAGAAAACACATCCACAAGAAAGGTTCAGATGAAGGCCCTTTGGCCCACCCTGAATCATCTTCCCAGGATGTACAGCCAGCACTATTCCCATTATAGCACAAACATTTTCTTAGCCTCTTCCTGGTAACATCTTCCAGCTATTGATTATCCTCTGTAAAGAAATACTTGCTAATGTCTGTCCTACAATTGCCCTTCACATCCTGAACCTGTGCCATTCTTATCCTCCTGCCTTCATGAATCAAAAAGCATTGTTGCAGTTTTACTTTCTGTCCCATTAAGCATGATAGCTACCTCTATAGGTACTTGTGTTTACAACTCCGATTAACCTTAGGTTATCTAAACAAGACTGCTTCACTGATTGTAATTTGTCATATTTGCCTTCAGTTCACCATAACACAGAGCTTCTATTTGTGAACAAATTGTAGAAGGTATTGCTTTTCAAACAGTCAAATTATACAGTCATGGTGTTCAACAGTCTATTTTTTTCTGTTCCAGTTTTCTCCCCTCCCACTCCACATTTACACTCTTTCTTTCCATTGAGTACTATTTCACAGTCAGGTAGCCATTGATGACAGGACATTTATTGTGATGCAATGTCACACCAGGTGTCACTTGACTTTTGTTCATGTGTGAGGCTTTACAACGGTGATCTGTAGACATTGCAACAATAATAATAATAATAATAATAATAATCCTTGCATTTGATATAGCGCTTTTCACGTCAGGAAGACGTCCCAAAGCGCTTCACAGAACACACTGTAAAGTGAATTGACTGTATATTTGTGGGCAAACGCAATGGTGGGGTGGGAGAGAGGGGAGGCATTTGAGCTGAGTGCCATCCTGAATCCTGGTCTCAACTTTCCACCCACATCCTTCCAACCGGGATCTGTAGATAGCAGGCATGAATGGGATACTCGGCTCATTTCTCCCCCCCCAACCCAGTGTTGCATAGGAATTGGAGACAGTTACTTCAACAGCTCAAAGATTAAAAACATCAAACCGTAGTGTAACATTGCATCAAAGCTACTCTCCACATCTACACATTGTATTAGGCCCCAACACAGACAACAACCTGTCCTCACTGCAATCCAACTGACTCCCTGACTCTGACTTTGTGTCTGGGTGAATGAGAAGTGGGTGTCAACTCTGATCGGGAAAGCTCTTCTCAGTTGAAGCACTTGTGCACAAGAAACAGCTTTCTAAGGGAAACATTTTCCATTTTCCTAATTTGTGAGGTTGAGCTTTTAGATGATTGAGACTTTCTTAATATCTGTACGTTCACATATTTGTCAGGCAGCGTTGGCATTGGACTTTTCAGATTCATAGAATAATAGAAACTTACAGTGCAGAAGGAGGCCATTCGGACCATTGTGCCTTTGCTGGCTCTTTAAAAGAGCTATCCAATTAGTCCCACTCTCTCGCTCTTTCCCCATAGTCTTGCAATCATTTTCTTTTCAAGTACCTATCCAATTCCCTTTTGAAAGTTATTATT